CCATGAAAAAAAGTTAACAAACTTACCACCCAAGCTAGTCCGCGACATGCTCATACTGTTCAAAGTCGTATCCATGTCGTTGTTATTCATGTTGTTGAAGTCAGTTAATACTGAATATTAATAGTTCTGTGTGGGAAGAGTATTCGTGCTAGACGTGTATTGTGTATTATCAGATCAACGGTATTCAGAGGCTCCAAACTTAATATTTGATAACTTATGCTACGATTTTAAGGCGTACTATACGTTGCACATTTTTTACAGCTCTAGTCTAATATTATTCTGCCTGTTATTAGTATGGTATGTTAGAATATAGATTAAGGTTACTAGTATTGATAAATATCATCACGCGCAAACTACAATCTGAACTATTCACGTAGGCATACTCCTAACTACAGCGGTTGATAGTCTATTCGTAGTGATGCTATTTTGGCTAACGTGTATAGTATAATTTGAGCATATATATGTTAAATTTTCAGAAGGCTATCATAAATATTAATTGAAAAGTCATTATTGTTCGACGCCGGCGGGACTATCGCTGTTCTTAACCGTGCACACAGAGTCTGAGAGAGACTCTAAATAGCGAGAGTGGAAGAGAGAGAGAGACATCAGTCGAGGCCCTGAGAACTGAGACAGTCTGAGACTCCTGTTAGAGAGTGCACATAATATTTTATATATAAACGTACCTAGTATTTATTTACTTATTTAAAAAAAACATATTGCTACTGTGCCGTACGTCCGTACAGAGTCAACCTCAATACGTTTTTTGTGAAATAAAAATAAAATAAACGTTTTTACTTTATGTAGTCGATATGGGTCAAGGACTCAAGGGTCCTTGACTCCTTGCACAATGTTGGGCTGACTTGTTGAGACACTTTTGACTATGTCAGGAGCGAGCAAAGAGAGCGACTTTTGATTAATTCAGGAGGGGAAAAAGAGAAGAAAAAAGGGTCTTTAGGGAGGCGTCGAAAAAATGAGAATCAAGTACCCTAAACCCTAAATCTACACTCTTTTTCAAACAATTTTTTTCACACTTCAGAAACCTACTATTTATTTACATACTTTAGAAATAGTAAATTTACTGCTACTCGTTGTCCTCGTGACTGTAAACCAATGATTCACTTGTACTTTTAGCAACTCATTGAAGTTAACACTTTACTACATCGAGTTCCAGCCGAATTTGTCGATAATGATTCACTTGTACTTTTAGCAACTCATTGAAGTTAACACTTTACTACATCGAGTTCCAGCCGAATTTGTCGATCCATCTTAATACTCACGCATGCCCTATGACACGTTAGAATAATACACCTCCGCCCACATCGCTGAAGATGCACATCAACTAATACTAAGACGTCCATACGTGAACTTGTAATTGTAAGTTGAAGTAGCTCCTTAAAATTCTATAAGGACAAATAATATATATATATATATATATATATGTGTGTGTGTGTGTGTGTGTGTGTACTATATATACGTATA